CCGTACTTATAACCAAGTAACCCACAATCCAGGTATGTATATAGGTAATGTTGATTTAGGTACCTAAAAGGTACAGATCAGGCCGTACTTATAACCAAGTAACCCACAATCCAGGTATGTATATAGGTAATGTTGATTTAGGTACATAGAAGGTACAGATCAGGCCCTACTTATAACCAAGTAACCCACAATCCAGGTACGTCTGGAGGTAATGTTCATTTATGTACCTAGAAGGTACAGATCAGGCCTGTACTTATAACCAAGTTACCCACCATCCAGGTATGTATATAGGTAATGTTGATTTAGGTACATAGAAGGTACAGATCAGGCCCTACTTATAACCAAGTAACCCACAATCCAGGTATGTCTGTAGGTAATGTTCATTTATGTACCTAGGTGGTACAGATCAGGCCTGTGCTTATAACCAAGTTACCCACCATCCAGGTATGTGTATAGGTAATGTTGATTTAGGTACTTAGAAGGTACAGATCCGGCCTGTGCTTATAACCAAGTTACCCACCATCCAGGTATGTATATAGGTGATGTTGATTTATGTACATAGAAGGTACAGATAAAGGCCGTACTTATAACCAAGTTACCCACCATCCAGGTATGTGTATAGGTAAAGTTGATTTAGGTACCTAGAAGGTACAGATCAGCCCTGTACTTATAACAAAGTTACCCACCATGCAGGTATGTGTATAGGTAATGTTGATTTAGGTACTTAGAAGGTATCGATCAAAGCTGTAATAAAGATATTATTCTTTCAGTTGATATTGAAACAAACCCAGGACCACCAAAGAGTACAAGGTAAAGGAAGTTAAACACACAAGAAAATATATTAATCTTACTGAGTGTAGCCTATGTAAACACTTCAAATGCTATATCTTTTCACAACGCATGTTAGGTGATAGAATTATGAGGACACGACACAATGTGAATGTCTACATATCATTGCTGATATAATCTTGGCACATCTCTAGGCAATGAACTAAAACAAAGAATAAATTGAGTGTGCTTTCAAAAGAACATATCAAAAAGTAAATTCTACCTTTGATAACTTCACCTCTGGAGAGATATTACCCAAATTTGATAAGAAAGGCTTAGAAACCTCAGGAAATGATTTATCACTGTAAGAAGATGCTGCTTTGCTGTGTATCATGGTTGAAGATTGGTTTGAGACATCAAAGGAGGATGTTGATGAAACTTGCTGAGTATCATCATGTATATTATTAGAATTGTTATTATCCATAAACTTTAGTTTTTCTGTGAACTGATGAAAGTTTCTGTCCGACATCTTTATTAAACCTTCTTCTCCCAGCAAATCTCTTTCAAAGGATGAACTTATATCATACTGAGAGTCTTGAAAACTTGCATAATTGTACCATTTTTTCTTTGAAGATTCAATACAATTATGAAGAGGGCACATCTTTGAATGATAATAGAGGAGCAGATGGCAGGTGGAGTACACTGCAGGATGGTCTTCCAAGTCTGCAGTCAAGTATTTACGATTCAAGTTAACTCCACGAGCATCCATTCGGTAATGTCCTCTTACTACACCATCAGGATTGAGAATTGGAATCAATTTGAAAACAAAGTTATCCCGCAGAAAAACAGGCCTGGGGTCTTCAGTGGCAAGAATAAAATGCAAAAATCCACGAAGAACAAAACTTGAAGGTGTTTCTCCTGGGTGAACACGACTACTGATGAAAACAATCTGCCAATATAGTTTTAATTTGAAAAAAGTTTATTAACTTAACTCTTTTACACAAACCTAGTAAAATAATGAAAGAGTAGCTTAACTGTTTTGGATTTTAGTATCATATCATAACTGTAACAAATATAAGAAATTTCAAACAAACATAATTCATACTCCTACTGCTTTCATATAATTTTGACATGACTAATAAAAATAGCATTTTATTATTTAAATAATCTTTAGATTGCTTTACTTATTAATAGCTATTAACTCACTCATTCAAGGCAGCTCCTTATAAGTAGCATGATTAAACAAACATTTTTTTTTTTTTATTATTCCTGTAAACTCCCAGTGGAGCATAGGGCCACAACAACACCTCGCCAACCTCGCTAGCCCCGCGCCCAACCCTCCTCCTTTCTCATCCTGGACTTGGGACCAGGCAAAGGCGGAGGTTGGCATGTTTGGTGTGACGGGGATTCGAACCCGTGACCCTCAGATTACGAGTCAAGCGCCCTAACCACCTGGTCATGCCGGGCCTAAACAAACAATATTTTACAGCCAAAAACTCCTGTATGAACACAACTTCAGATTAATATATTTCACAGAACTATAAATGTGTACAGTGGTGAACAGACAAACATCTTGGACATATGTGGTTCTAATTCATTACTCTCTTCCTGAACGTAATGCACAAATTTCTCCTTTAACTAATCCCTATTTTCTGAACTAACCTTTTTGTTTTGAAACTTATGGCACCGAGGAATAGTTTTATCAGGAAAGAGATGAGGTAGACGATCTTCCCGTTCTTCCAACATCCCCGTTAAGGATGTAACTGTTACTAGCTCCACCTTATGGCCATCCAAAGAATAACACAAAACTTCACGACAATAGTAAACATTGTTGGTACTGCAGAGAACATTAAAACATTTAATAGTTTCAATATAAAGCAAGTAATTTTATGTTGCATATACAGCTAGATTTACTGTTTCATTACCTTTCATATCTACTAGGATGTAATGATCATAAAATGGGATTAAAAGTTGTAAATATTTTCTAAATACTACAATCAATGATTGGTATATACAATACACCTATGGGTACTACCATAACACTGGAATTAGAAAACAAAGTTTCATTTGAGACAAAACACATTAATACTACATAAATATCACCACACCCCAAATCTGTATCTTCTAGGTACCTAAATCAACATTACCTATACACATACCTGGATTGTGGGTAACTTGGTTATAACTATGGCCTGATCTGTACCTTCTAGGTACCTAAATCAACCTTACCTATATACGTACCTGGATTGTGGGTAACTTGGTTACAAGTACGGCCTGATCTGTACCTCCTAGGTACATAAATCAACATTACCTATACACATACCTGGATGGTTGGTAACTTGGTTATAACTATGGCCTGATCTGTACCTTCTAGGTACCTAAATCAGCATTACCTATATACGTACCTGGATTGTGGGTAACTTGGTTATAAGTACGGCCTGATCTGTACCACCTAGGTACATAAATCAACATTACCTATACACATACCTGGATGGTTGGTAACTTGGTTATAACTATGGCCTGATCTGTACCTTCTAGGTACATAAATCAACGTTACCTATACACATACCTGGATTGTGGGTAACTTGGTTATAACTATGGCCTGATCTGTACCTTCTAGGTACATAAATCAGCATTACCTATATACGTACCTGGATGGTGGGTAACTTGGTTATAAGTACAGCCTTTATCTGTACCTCGTAAGCTCCTATATCAACATTACCTACATACATACCTGGATTGTGGGTTACTTGGTTATAAGTACGGCCTGATTTGTACCACCTAGGTACATAAATCAACATTACCTCGTAAGCTCCTATATCAACATTACCTACATACATACCTGGATTGTGGGTTACTTGGTTGTAAGTACAGGCCTTTATCTGTACCTCCTAGGTACATAAATCAACATTATCTATATACATACCTGGATGGTGGGTAACTTGGTTATAAGTACGGCCTTTATCTGTACCTTGTAAGCTCCTATATCAACATTACCTACATACATACCTGAACGGTGGACCATTTGGGTGCAACTACAGTCCTGATCCATAATTTCTAAGTAATTAAATCTACATTACCTAGACACATCCATGGATGCTGGGTCACTTGGGTCCAAGTACAGTCCTGATCCGTAATTTCTAAGTAATTAAATCTACATTACCTAGACACATCCATGGATGCTGGGTCACTTGGGTCCAAGTACAGTCCTGATCTAAATTGTTTATCAAACTTAGACAACATTTCCTGACATTCATTGTAGCTGAATGGAAAAGTAAAGGCAAAATATGTTGTTGCTGCAGTGTGACTTGGGAGCTTATGAAGAAATGTCAACACAAAGTTTCCTTCCTTCACCTGTTAGAAAATACAACAGATCAGAATATATAATAAGCACATGATCATTTAAAACCTAAAGAGGTCACTTACTAAAGACATGTAAGCCTGATAATAAAACGTTATATTAACTGTAAAACTTTTTTCAGCTCAGCTTGCATAACTGTGAAAAATATACTTTGTTGAACAGAGATGACTGAAAACAATAATGACTTATGTTCAACAGTGGTCTCAACAGATTTAATGTACTAACATCGTATATGTACTAACATCTGTACATTCTCATCTATAATTTACGTTATCTCATCACACTGAGGGTTATTCTGTATTTCTCATCTTTCTTTCTCTGTCATTGGTTGTATTGTTTTTGTTTCTGCTATCTTAACTTCTCCAAGTCACACTTATATTAAATATTTATTCAACATAATAATTCATCCCACTTTGTACCGGTAACTTATGTCTATTCTTCTACTAATGATTAATTTGTGTTTCAGATCTTTCTTTTCTCCCACTTCCATTACTTTGTATCTGTATATCTTATCTTCTCCCACTTCCATTACTTTGTATCTGTATATTTTATCGTCTCCCATTTCCATTACTTTGTATCTGTATATCTTATCTTCTCCCACTTCCATTACTTTGTATCTGTATATCTTATCTTCTCCCACTTCCATTACTTTA